GCGTGTTGCCGAGACCGTCGACAGCATGGCCGACCACGAGATAGGAGAAGGGCGAGACGCGGTACATGAAGATCCAGAAGCGGGGCATGGCGTCAGGCGAAGCCAGGACACCGCAGAAGATGAGGCACATCATGAAGAGCACGTTGGCCAGGTTGCCGCCCCGCCTCGGCCGTGTCCGTGATGGCGATGCAGGCGTGCGCGAACGTGCAGGTGAAGATGAGGAACTGCCAGAAGAGCAGCCACATGAGGCCGCCGCGCTCCGTCGTCTGGCCGGCCGCCTCGGCGTTCTTGTACAGGCCGACGGGGTAGTAGACGCAGATGAACATGAAGACGGACATGAGCGAGTTCCAGGGGATCTCGACGATAATCTGGGAGAGCATAAACACCTTCCAGCTGTACGTCTTGGACGGCCGTTCCCTGACTTCGTAGAGCGAGCGCTGCGTGACAAAGTGCGGCATCTGTTGCTGGACGAGCTGGCCGAAAATGGTCAAGATGTTGAAGATGGCGAACATTTGGTTCTGCAATCCCTGCATACTCAATGGGGCGTCGAGGAACACGAGACCAATGAATAGGGCCACGGAGCAGCAGAGAATGAACTTGGAGTAGATGTAAGAAGGGGTTCTCCAGTACTGCTCGAAGACGCGGCGCGTGACGATGAGCAGCTGGCTCCACAGAGGCGAAGCAAACTCGCGGAACGAAGCTTTGTCGTCTGCCTGGGAGGCCTTGTCAGTGGCAGTAGGGGTCGCGTTCGCCTTGAGACGTTCGAGTTCATGGGAGACGTCCTGGTATTCGGGGCTGTCACGCCAGGCCTGGTGCCAGTCGACGTTCGTCTCAGATCCGGGTGCGGCGCCAATGGCAGAGAGCATCCATTCGGCTGGGTTCTCGCCGGGGGGGCAGGGTTCGGCACCGTTGCGCTCAAAATAGTTTGTGAGGGTCTTTGAGTTCTCTCCGATATCACCGAAATAGACGGTCCTACCACCCTTGGCGAGGAACAGCAATCTATCGAACCGCTGGAAAAGCATGGCCGAGGGCTGATGGATCGTACACAAGATAGACTGGCCAGCCTTGGACAGCTTTTCCAGTAGGTCAAGAATAGCCCATGATGTTTGAGAGTCGAGACCCGATGTGGGCTCATCGACGAAGAGCAGGAGAGGTGGCTTCGCAGCGAGTTCGACTCCGATGGTCAGACGCTTCCGCTGTTCAACGTTGAGGCCCTCGCCTAGCACGCCGACCACAGCGCCCTCGTATTCCTGCATATCGAGAAGCTTGATGACTTCGTCCACGTAGGCAAGCTTCTCGGCGCGCGGCGTCGACTCAGGCTGGCGCAGAAGGGCGCTGAACTCCAGGGCTTCACGGACAGTGGTGGTTTCGAGATGGAGGTCCTGCTGCTGAACGTAGCCCGTCTTGCGCTGGAATGACTGGTCGCGAATCTTGCCATCAACGAGCATCTCGCCAGTTATAACGCCCATGGACACACGATCAGCGAGGCAGTCGAGAAGCGTCGTCTTTCCGGCGCCAGACACGCCCATGAGGGCCGTGAGGGTACCGGGCTTGACCCATCCGTCAACGTGGTCTAGAATCCTTCGAGGTTCGCCCTTGATCTTGATGTCATAACAGACATTGTTCCAGTGGAACACGCTTGTGGAAGCCTGAATAACGCCGTCGGTGGACTTGCCGTTGGGCTTCTCGGTAACGGGGAGCGGTCCGGAAAGGGCTCCTTCGACATCGTCCTGGCCCTTGGCGGTGGTGGGAAGAGCGCCGCGGCGGAAAACAAGGACTTCACCCTTGGACTTCTTGGCCGAAATGTACTCCGAAGCGACAAAATAGAGAACGTGGAAGGCAATGGCAAAGCCAATGAGGATACCAACGTTCCTCCACTTATGGCTGTGGTTGTACTTGTAGGCCGCCTGGATATACGTGTCGCCGTTGACCACATCAGACCCAGCTACGGAGCCGACTGCGGAACAAGCCCTGTTGGTGGACGAGATGTCCTCGTAGCCCGCGACAGCGGAACTGGGCACAAAGGCGTTGCAGGTAAAGTCTCGGTTGTGGAACTCATTGATCATAAGGGCCTCGAAGCCATAACCGACAGGATCAATGTAGTTGATCCAGCGGCACCAACCCAACATGTAGTCGACAGGAATAACGAAGCCGGTGAAGATTACGAGAGCCAGGATGAGGATGGAGGCGGGGACCATTGCCTGGGACAGGGTTCGAGAGAGCGAAGCGCTGTATAATGGATTAGTGGATTGCTTTCCGCAAGACCATGCTCAGTTTGCGACTTACATGGAGCGGAAGATTCCGGACATTGTCAGGACCATCAGGAATGATACCAGCAGGAAGAAGAAGAAGGCACCCGGTTCGCGGTTGAGGTTTGTCATGAAGTAGATGACCAAATTGTAGACGATGCTGTTGGCGATCTTGTATGGCATATCCACCAGGACAGACGAGTAGGCCTCAGCGGATGCGTGATAAAATGCGTAGCGCACATGCTTGTCCACGATAGGTCGTTGGGCGTACTGAGTCAGAATTTCAAGGGCACTGGAGAAGGCGTTGGTTAAAATGGCAGTGAAGAGGACAACGCCACGGCTGTAGAAGGCTGATGTCGTTTGCGGCATGTTGTAGAATAGAGAGGAAATAATCAGACCCATGATCGAATTGGCGAGGAGTTGGAACACGGTCAAGGACGGATCACCCAGGAGGCGCTGCCACCCACGCCACAGGCAAAGCTTGACCTGTTGAGGGTACGACAGAATGAAAGGAGACTTGAGTCGTTGGTTCTTGGACTGGACAGCAGACTTGATGTTGCGGAAGGCCTGTGCATCAACACCGTCGACGGGGTGGACAGACTTGTACTCCTGGATCTGGACCTGTAGATCACGGAACGCCTGGCTGGCTTTCCAAGCCGCCGCAAAGTCGTCAGGGCTTCGAGGAACTCGAGACTCCCAGCCAGGGCGCACAACACGTTCCGAAGGAGCAGTCATAGATGTCAGGAAATCCGGAACTGTCTGGCGCGCTGGGCAGTCGAATCCGAGGTTTTCGAAGTATTCCTTAGCCCGCTTCGTGGAGCCAAAGAAGATTTGTCTGCCTTCATACAGAACAGCAACCTTATCGAACAAGTCATAGGCGCTCTGGGGGGCCTGGTAGATTGACACGGCACACGTCTGACCGAAAAGTTCCGACTGCAGCCTCAGCGTCTTGCAGAATTCGACAGCATTAGCCGAATCGAGACCACGAGTTGAGTTATCCCAGCATTGCAAAGGAGCGTTCGAGAGAGTAGCCTCAGCGATGGACACACGCTTTTCGCTCACCACCAGAAACGCCGCGAATGTATTCGTTACCTACGCGCGTGTTGATGGTGTGGCTGATTCCATACATGGCCATCACAACGTCGCGGAGGTGATCGGCGTACTGGTTGCG